TTCGTATGGGATTAGTAACTGAAGTGTTTCGTCGGAGTCGAGGATGGTGTCGGAAGGATGAGTTTGTTGGCTGCCGGAACATAAAAGACGGCGGACAACCGCCGTGAGGCAGCCGGTCTTAGGGTTGGCTCGTTGGGTCATGTTGATGGATGATGATGTATGGGTGATGTATATGATAGATAGTGGTTTAAGTAGAGTGTGTTGAAAATGTGCTAGACTTTCTTGGTATTTATAATGACAACAAGGACAAACCATTTTTCATTATTTGTGAGGGCCCACCAACTAAATAATTTAAACCAAAAATATATGGCTAAACCAATATTCTCTTTTTCTTAAGTATTTTATTTTTTTAATATTCTAAATAAATCAATAAATATTTATAAGGCAGTTATATTAAATTGAAAACTCAAAGACTAATTTTTGTATTTCATATATCTTAATACCGATTACATGTTAAGTCATTTCAAAATTTTTAAAATAAAGCATGTCTGATTTACCCAATATATTTCACTTTCTCTTTTAAAACCAATTTAATTGTTTCCGGATTTTGTTCATCTATTTTAGTGTTTTTGAAAACAAAATAGGTTTTTTTTTTTTGAAACTTAAATAGGTTTATTATTGGTAACATATAAAGGAAAAAGTACCAAGGATCAATAAAGTAAAACTCTATAACCAAAGTGATATACAGAAAGAAGATTCTGTTTTTGAAACTCAATGGAAGAAAAAGAAACTTGAAACTTTTGAAAAAATCATGAATTAATAATGGCGTTATCAATTATTTCAAAATAAAGGTGATCATAGGAGAGTTTTTCCTTCACGTAGTTAAGTTTATGGATTTAGAAATTACAATGGTCAAGTTTTGTTCTTATTGCTTTAGAGCTTTTTACCAACATGTTATATATGATTCACATTTTATAATTACGAAAATTCATATGTATATTTAAGGGTGAAAGTGATTTTTCAAGACTACAAGCCTTTACTAACTTGATAAATCCTGCATGTGCCAATGAACATTTAAAATATTTAACTAAAAAAAAAGAATCTAAAATAAATTGAGATTTTTTCTTTTTGTTAAAGGTTAGTGAAAATTGGATAATGATTTCTATCAAATGTAAACTGTGAGTTTTATATGAATTAAAAAAATGGCAAACATGATAGGTTAACAAATTTAACTTTCTAGCTTATTTCTCAGAGTGCATTGCACAGTAGAACAAGTAATACATATTAATGTTGATCATAAAGAGAAGATTGGCGGGATCAAGTATTTGAATAGTAATTTAGAATCTTCAGAAATGAATATTATAAAGTCGCAAAAGGCCTCTTCGAAACCTATCTAGTTCGCTTTATTAGTATAAAAACATATGTATATAAATATAATAACATTGGAGGCTTGGAGCAACTAACTTTACGGTATTCATTATTTATTGGGACAATTACAAAAATGCTAATTTTTGTGTGCACATTTATAATAATGCCATTTAGAAGTGTTCATTTACAAAAATGTCACTAATTATAAATTTATAAAGTCTATATGTTAAAATTCTAAACCCTAAAAAATGTTTTGACACCTAAAACCCCATAAACACTCAAAACTAAACTCTAATAGAACATAATTAACCCAAACATAAATAATATAAAAAAATTTTTTTTTTAAAAAAGTGGCATTTTTGTAAAAATTTCAAACATGTGGCATTTTTGTAAAGTGGCACTTAAAAAAATTGCATTTTTTGAAATTTATCTTGTTTATTTGTCGCCGAGTTTAAGGGATTAATAATTTACTATGCATGATTAATCTGATCATTACATTTACATATCATTAGTATGTTTCATAATGAATGGATAGTCAATTATAAATTTTCGGATTTATAATTTCATTCATTTGGTATAATACATGTACAAAGGGTAACACAAAATATTATCTCTTTTGAATTCTTAGGATATGATGCTTTTTGTTATGTTTTCAATACATACAACCTTTTAATAAAAAGAAAATGATAGCTTTATCATCTAAATATTTTAGTTTATAAGCTATGATCCTCAAGATCAAAGATTCC